CCTAAGTGAAATAAATAAGTCACACATGTGTAAATACCAAATAGTTTCCCTGGTGTGAATATTCTGCAACAATGCATAAGATTCTAATAAGATTACTGACATTTAGAAATTTGAAGAAAGGAGCTAAAGGTGTAGGGAAGGTGTGATGCGTAGGGGAAGAACAAAAAGGGAAAAGAAAAAAATGTGAGAGAATGAAAAGACGAAAATAAAGTGTTTGTAGATGGGGAGGGGAGGAGGGGGTGAAGGGAGGGCAGAGGTAAGGGGAAAAAATGAGAATCAAGCAAGACTTGCCATGTAGAGGTACATTATCCCAACAATGAATGTAACTGTACTGTATCCCTAAAATGTACCAATAAACTCAATAAAATTAAAAAACAAAACATACTAATCTATTTAGCCAAATATTAAAAAAAAAAGAGAGATTCATTTATGTCATTTTTATAGCTCAGAATCAATGATATGAGAGTGTGCATGCTGCAGAAATTGTCAAACTGTGAAAACGAGAGCATTTTTTATTTTTGCCATTCTTGCTGTTAAATATTTATGAACAGGGGCCGGGGATTTAGCTCAGCGGTTCGGTGGCCTGCCTCTCAAGCACAAGGACCTGAGCTTGATCCCCGGTACCAAAAAAAAAAAAACAAAAAACACCAAAACAAAAAACCCAAATATTTACGAACAGAATGTTATATATGTGCTATATGGTTTCTATTCAAACAAGATAAATATTTTACCATCTATGAATAGATAAATTAGAATTTCCCCTACCTCTGGCTTAACATGTAGTATGAACCTCTTTGAAAAAGTCACACCTGATAATGTCAGTTCTATTAAAAGATATCTCAGTCTGTAACATTCAGGCATTCAGCTTTATCTCTCTTTGGTCTGGATCGTAATTTAAAAAATGATACAAGTGAAAAGGAAGTAGGAAGAAATGACAGGGAAGTGTGAAGATGCTGTTTTAGGGTTCTTAATTTAATAATTTAAAAATATTCAGTGGTATTCACTATAAAAAATGAACTCAGAATTGAGTTTGTGTTTATACTTCTATTTTTCTTCATTAAGGAAACTAAGAAGATTTGATTTTTGATGTGCAGTGACCAATAATTACATGTTCGTGTAGCAGAGCGAATCAAGTTGATGAACTCCAGACCTTTCAGCCTCACACCCAAGCACATCTCCTTAAACTATACATAAACTACCAAGGAAGACAAGTTCATAGTTCTGCCTAATGTAGTACAACTAATCCGTGAGCAGACTGAAAAGCCAATCAAGTTAACCCTCCAACCTCCCTTCCAGGTTCTGTGAGAGCTGTGCACTTGGCAAGCACCACAGGACCTGACTTTTTAAAATGAACTTGACCATAGCATTCATATTACCTGTTGTATTTTCATGAATATAAACATTGATGATAAATTCTACTTGTAATAATTTAAAGCTACCTTTAAAGTTTACTTCTAGTCAACATTTTTTAGATGATAACAAAATATTAAATCCCATTAGTTCATTTAAGATTTTCTTTCTTTTAGTTACTTTGTCATTGACAAAGTAATTGCATTTTTCTTTATTTAACCTACTTAGTGGTTAATAAAAAATGTTCACCAACTAGTAATTCTTCCAGTGTGTGTCATCATCATGGCAACACAAATAATACTAAACTAAACCAGTTCTGTGAATCATGTTTGTTATCCTATGCTATGATGTGGACTTTTGATTCATTGTAATTTAAAAAGTGAATATAATGGAGAAAATGAATGTAACAGAAAGACTGTTAATTGTTTTAGGGTAAAAACTAGGAGCAGAGGTTATTGCTTTTAGAAGTCTGCTTCATTAATCCAAAGGGTGTGAATGCTGAGAGCTTTCCAGAGGATTCTCCCATGTGTCCTGGAATAGAAGCATCAGATTTAAATATTGGGTGTTAACCTACATTGAGCATAGTTGAAACCTTCCTCACTGCGAGGACCCTCGCTCCTGAGTACTCACTGCTAATACCTCACTGCTCACTCCTAAATACTTTCCAAATCTGCCAATTGCAGACTTGTCTTTCTCCAGTTGCTTCTATGTGAGTAATGTCACAGTTTTAGGCAATAACTTCATAACTGGACCTTCTGCTTAATTATTTTCCCATCCAACAAATCAGATCCCCCATTGCAGACAAAAATGAATATGAGATCAGGTCCCTCTTTTGTAAGTTCTGAATGTTTCCTAATTTCCATTACCCAGACTTAGCCATTTTTCTGGAGGTTCTGTGACAACTTGCATTTCTTAGCAGTGTGCAGAATCTGTTTTTCCTCACTGTAATGATATTCTTCTATTTTCCAAGAAAACTCAAAGAAGATGTATGAATAAAATGAACTTCTATTTATTCACTAAAGTGATGTTTGCTACTTACTAAATAAATTACAGACAAAATTATACCAATTTTTGCCTGCCACTGAAAAATCATTAATGGAATAATAATTCCATTAACATAAACTTGAATGCCCATTCAAATGAAGATGAAATATATAT